ATTCTACAGAGGATTATGACATGGGAAAAATGGATTATCGTTGATGAATAATATCGGAAGATGAAGAATAGGTAGTTTCCTTTAACAATTCTGATGATCAAGGTCTCAGAAATGCCAAGTAACAGTGGAACATTGCTCAAAGGTACATAATCATGTTGTCTTCTCTCTGAACGAAGAATCATTTTACCAGCTGTCACTGGCTTATGCCAGGCAAATTCCCTGCTCTGCCAGCGGTGATTGGTTGCCTCCATGAAGAACTCACAAACCTACACATTTCTCACACCATGAAGGTGACAGAAGGAAAAATGAAGGAAAGTTTGGCATCGATCTTTACAGCTACGTGATGGGTCCAATTCTAGCACCTTTGTTTTTGTGATGCTAATAGTGGGGGGGGGCGATGATGTTTGTTTCCATGTCATTCAGCTTAAAGTGCCTTATTTACAAAGGCGGAAGCGACAATAGCTATTTAACTAGCATAGTTTATATAGTCATGTTTCCTACTCACTCATTTATCAGAGTGATACTCACTCATCAACCTCAGAAAGAAAAAAAAGCGACCGATTTCGACTGTGGCTCAAATCCAGCACCTCTCTGTCGTGAGTGAGTCTGATGCTCTATCGGCCGAATAACCCCGATCTTCCTTATGCAGCTTATGGTACACTGCTGATCTCTGATTCCATGGCATTAGTTGTCAAACCTTATTTTCAATGGCAATGTCAACAGGCAGGGTGTTAGTATTGGCTGTAACTCCAAATTTTTTTCTCATTTAGTGATAATTAATGCCGAACAAATTTCTACTTGACACACAGCAGATGATCTCAAAAAATGGACATAGAGTTTGATTGGATTTGTCAGCAATCTTCAGTCACATGACTTGACTCACAGTTACCGTGGTTGTGTGCTTGTGCGTTGCTGGGCATGGTAAGTTCACTGACACTCGTTCACCTATCATCAACAAAGAATGAAACACGAGGCGGGATTATGTCTCGAAGCGCTGTATTTCTTTGACCCTGTGTCTGACCCTTTACTAATAAAGCAACCTCCGTCGTCTCTGCCCCCTTAAAAGTGATATAAGGCCATGGTGGTAAATAATATGTGACTCCTATGCGGTCAGATATGACAAGCCACGTTGAGTTCCGCTTTACTAGTTAATTGAGTGACGGCTGAAAACTGCTAGTGAATGAATGAATGCATCGTCTGTGACCATTTTGTTCACGAATGGTCTAGAAAGTTCTGTCTGTCGTATATCATGGACTTCCTACATCTACAGTACAAAGTCATCTTATATTTCAGATTTACTCTTACAGCGGGTGCTTTGCCAGCAGCCGCAGCCTAAGCATAACTAACTAGCTGTGGAGTAGAGAAATTTAATAAATTGATTATTTTTTGCACTATTCTGGATGTATCAAAATCAATAGCTTGATGGAACGATGCCATTTGAAAAGATTACCACAGATCTGTTCGCATGGTCGTCAACTTGAATGCTTGCTTGGCATCGATAGCCGCGTTAAGGAACTTTCATATTTTTTTCGCCCATATGTTCTGCATATTTTAGTACAGTGAAACAGCACCATCAATAATTTCTGCTATATTTTTCTTGCGATCCAACTTTAGTATTTCTTAATGATTACGGTACAATCATGATCACTGAATCCTTCGTCAAAAACATATATGCAGGGTCTTTTGTTCTTCCTTTCAGAGGTCAGCAGTGGTCAGCCGATCGCAGCTGTCGTGCCACCTTTCAAGATGTAGCTAAGCTGCAGATGATCTCGGACGGTGGATGCAAAAATCCGTCATTGCAGTGCTGACGTGATCATCGAGCGAACTCTGAGATAATTTGAGGATTCCAAAGACATATGGCAGCACTGACATAGCCCAGGTATTGACAGCTTTGATCTTATTCATGGAAGAAATCTACTTTTTCAGGTCAAACATGAAGTGCTTATTGAACGTCGTTGAGTGTTTAAGTATTTTTGAATTATTGCACAAGTTTTTATCAAATGTTTTGATCTAGTTCATGTGTATACGCCATCATATATCATATTCTAAAGCGTATTCCATATGGCGTATTCTTAAGGATTCCCAAACTATGAAGCAACCCTATTTGACAGTGTCCAATTTAACATTGTTTCATTATATATTTTTACGCTATTATGTTTTCATACATTATCTTCCTTAGTGTGTTACTTGTTTAGTCTTTCGTTGTCTTTGTGTTCTTTCCTTTATTTTCTTTTACTGATCTAAAGTGTGATAATATTAACTCTTTTTATTATCGGGTAAATTCATATAGTGCCAGAAGTTCGCCTTTCTTTCTATCATATATTTCTTTGCAGGACGCCAAAAAAACCGTCCCTCAATGAGGCCATTCAAACAGTCAGTATTACATCAATAATACTATAATTTCTCCAGGTAAACGCAGTATGAGGAAAGAGTGGACGAATGAATGAAACGCATGATGTTTTACATGATAATTATCATAGCTTCCTCGTTTGAATTGGAACGGATGCATTTTTGTAGCTTATAAAGATAGTTGTTTCAGTGCACTTGAAATGTGATATAAACAGCCAGGTCAAAAATAATGGAACGGCATCCATCGAAAGAGGGATTAACAGATTGAATGACTCCTTCCGTGTCTTCGAGAATATTGTAATTACATGGTTTTCCAGTTGAGTCTGTCAGGGACGATTTGGGACGATTTTCAGGACTCATCCTATCGTAGATCATCCCCTAGTGATAAGAATCTGAAATACTCGCTTATGAAGGGACAAAAACAAGTGTATTGTTCCGATATTAGTAGGCTATATCAGAATTTTTTCGCCTCACGAAAAAGTTCTGCAAGCAACTGTCAAACGATCTGTCTGTTACAGACAGATCATTGTAAAGTTAACGCGCCGGTCGGCTGAATGGAATGCTTCTTCATTTTGAGTCTTATGACTGAGGTGAGGAGGTGACTAGAAAATTTATTGATGAAAGTCAAAATTTCTAAGCCAGTGAATGGCCTCTCCCGCAGTATCTTGGAATCCGTCATGCCACCGTCGAACTTTCACAGCTGGTACTCGGAAATGATGTACTGCAAAGTATGACCTTCATAGTCGCAGTCACATTCATGATCCAACGGTGAGGAAGTTTCGGCAGTGCCCATGTCCTGTCTGGATCCAAGTGCACCTTGACCATTCCGGACGAGTCAAAACCGTGCCATGGAATTCTGTAGATGAGTTAAAGGTATATTTATGAGAGGCTGTAGCGTTACACTCTGCTCGCCACTGTTTCTCATGACTCAGTCGTGACGTCGTGAGGTGCTTCAGTGACAAAACCAAAATTCAGCCACTACAGAGCTTTCATACGATAGCATCCTCCTCTGACTAAACGCTGAGAGAATAATGAAG